GTTATTGGGGACCATGTTGAATCTTCTGTCATTTTTTAAATCACTGCAAATTAAAAGCAACAAGCAAGAGACACAGGCTTTAAAGCACAATGAGCTCTTCCCAATTTAAAATATGCTTGATATCTTTCCAGGTGATTTGTACATAGTCAAGTACTATGTCTTTGGGTCTCCAAAGTATATTTTCAAGGCTAATTGTTTATTTTATTAGATATTTATATTGTTGTTCTATATCACAATATACTGTACTATATGCAACACTGGAGGAAGGAGGAAGACAATGGCTTGGACTGATAAAGGTCTATCACTAAATAAAGGGAAATCAATATGATTGCACTATTTTGGTTTTGTGTTTGAGGTTTTCTTTTGGTTTACAATGCAACAAATGCACTATGTAAGTGTGTAAACCCTCTTCCAGTAGTTAACTTATCATATTGTACTAATGTGACAACACTGACCCAGCACTAAGTTCGAAAAAAGAAAGGGGGAAAAAATTAAGAAAAGTGTTCTACCTGATGCTGAGCAGAACTATTTTGTGCTCTGGGGAAGGAAAAATAATTTAAAAGAAAATAAAAAAGAAAAAGAATGGTCTCTGCATGGTTTCTGTCACTTTTGCATGTGTTATTGATGCATAACGTGTTTTTAAATCAATTTATAGATTTTTCGCTAAAGTTTTATGAATTCATTTTAATATTAGGCCTATACAATAATTTTTTGTTTTTTTACAATCACAAATTCATTTTAAATGGTCTTGAGGTGTAACAAATTAATTTTCAAATATAGTCTATAAGTTGATATGAAATTATAAAAGCTGCATGCTCAATAATTATAAAAGAATCAAAATAGTGATGATGACATGTCAACTTTAACCACCCACATGTAGAATTATTGAGGAATCACAAAAATAAATTCCAAAATTTCCACTAGAGGTCAGTGCAGAAGCACTGCAAAAGCAAAATTAGTCAAACTCTGCTTCTGATCTTTTCTAAAACTTTATAAAACGATATTTTTATTATTTCTACATGCAGCTTTCATATTTATAAAACGTGAAATTAAGTAATTGTTACCTATGAGACTTTCTAGTGTAATATAATTTAGTCAATTTGATTCAGTGACATTAAATTATATTTTTGACTTTAATAAAAGTTAATGTTACAACATTAAGCACATTTTAGATCACCTGCTAAAACATTTTTACAGTGCATGCATTTTTATGAAGCAGTGAGGTCACATTTTGTCATATATTAGACTCAAAAACACACAAAATATAGGGCACTAAGGGACAACTTGCATATTTATGCTATATAGCACTCAATCCATTATGTTATAAATGTCAAATCTCATTTTCCACCATGTTGCAATGAATTTAACAAGAATTTAGCAAGACTTTCATTTGTCCAAAGATCCTTACATTTTAATATTCATTTTTCAGTGAACACTTTTTTTTATATATATAATTTCACATATCTACTTTATAATATGAAATGTGTCAACTATGAACACATTAAAGTTAAAAAAGTTTAACGTTCATAAATTCATTAATTAATGAAAGATAAATTGAGTAGTTCAATTCAGCTATAAAAATATAGTGCATTTTTTTTCTTCATTGCTATCTGTTTTCTATATATATATCAATATATAGCCATGTATGGACCATGCATATATTGCAGTATATTGAAAAATATAAGCACTAGCTTCCTATTTATATGGAAATTATTTCATATATAGAATTATATTTTCCAGTATATTACCATATATTTTTGTTTCATAACGGTGCAGCAAACTAGCTGCAGCGAATTACATTTTGAAACCCTTGCCTACTGTTGAATGTGCTAGATTTGCAGTTCTAAAGTATGTCACGCTTGTTTGTAATTGTGTTTACAAGTACCGTGAAGCAGACACACCATACCTCCACACTTTTCCAACACTACTGAGTGGGTCACCCTGGCACAGGAACTAATTAACACATGCTAATTAGCTGCCTGCTGGGTCTCTGTCTGCTGCAAGTGGGCGGGTGTGGGTCAGGGGGTGTTGTTGGAGTCTTTCTCTTTCTCTCTCAGTTGGTGTTCTAGAAGCAAGAGCTGATTACTGGTGTGGCCTGATATGCTCTCAGTATCACATTCCCTGTCATCAGAGCATAACGGGGCTGGTAGCAAAGCTCAAAGAGAGATTTGGCTAATGAGAGAGCTGGAGAAAAAAAGACAGAGGTTTTTTTTTTTTTTGGAGGTGGTCCGGATCGGCTGACCAGAACGTAAAATTCGACAGAGCAGTTCCACTGATCCTCTTGACCTCGTTGCACTATTCATCAGATCCACACATGCTCCAGAACAAATAAGATTTGCCATTTCCATATGCTGCTTCTCTTCATTTCTGCATGCTCCATTTCTCTCCTGAGAGGCTGACACCGAAAATGCTTTCATTTTTATCTGCAAATGACACAGCCATCTGTCACACATGAGGGTTTATCTTTATCTCTGGCGCTGTCAACAAATGCTAAAAGTCCATCTACATAAGTTACATGCATGAAACGGCACATATATACAACATTACATGCGTTTAAACTTCCCTGTGGTGTATAACATGCCCTGTTTTTATGGCACAGCTGAAACAAATGTCTTTGTTTGTTGCTTTAACAGGTAGATATGCAGTACAGATTTTTCACTGCAAGACTCAGACTGTGGATAAGACAATAAAGGACAGTTGTTTATATAGTTATAGACCCAATACACCAAAATGAGGGCAATCAAAATATTTGAGGTCTTCTCAGAAGGAAATTAGGGGATTCACAGATCATTAAAGGTTAGAGTCGTTAGGTGGAGGGAGAAGAATGTATGAACTCCTATTGTCCTCATGTCTGTGGCTATTGATGCTGAAAGAAAACAGTTTAATTGATTACTTTGGACACAATAGAACATGTCAGAATATGCAGGAATTCTGGAAAAACTGGCAAAGAGTCTAATTTAGTTTGCATGTGATAGACCTCATGACTACACATATAAATACTACACATACATACTTTTTTTCAGTGTATGCATATATGCGACATATGCATGTCTATATTCAAATACAAAAATGATAATAGTTTATTTTAAATCATTATTTTAAATAATAATTAAATAATCTAATTTAAAATGTTAAATTTTGTATTTTAATTTTAAATATATTTATAATTATGTCATTGTTACTAATTATTACAACATTTTTGACACCTCCAATGTACACATTTAGATCTTATAACACATACGTGTATCTATATGCAGAGTAGAGGTATTTAACTGAGACTTTTATCAAAAGAATCAATTATTACAGTACTTTGACATTCAACACTATTTTGTCTTACATAATTATCTGCAAAAGATGCCAAGTGACCACGAACCTCTAAGGTTAAACAGCAGTAGGAACCCAACTGCCACCTTCTGACACCTCTACAGCAGATTGTGTTGTGACACACGGGGCTGTTGATTATTCAGCTCCACCTGCTTTCCTGTGCTTTGTGCCCTGCTGTTACAGCAGGGGAATTCTTCTCTCATACATACTTCATGCGATTTCCCCCCTGCTGAGGATACTACGAGCCTCATCCATGATACCACTACCTGGTTCAGTAGGTTGAATGGCACATATGACAAGATAACAAGGGTTTCCAGTCAAATTAAAGACAAAATATTGCAATTCCAGCACACAGTTTTATCCAAAATGGTATTGGAAGTGTGACATGGGACAAGCATAGGGTCAAAAGCATGTTTGGGGCACAAAATACTTGCTAAATCTTAATGTACTGCTCAATTGGATGTACTGCTCTGAAACCATTTAATGGTGTGAAATTAGGCCATCTAATTTCAATCTGGAGAATAAATTAATTTGCAAGTAGGGGAGAAGAGGGAAGTGTTTACGTAAGGTCTATTCCACTCAGCCAGCTGTCTTTGAGGTGTTTAACATACAAATATAACCTTGAAAGTGTCAGTGTCTCTGTGTGCCTGGTGTCTATCAGACCACTTTAGCCTTCTGAGACTCCCTGAGGGCTGAGATTTTAAACTGCCCCATCAGGCCAATAAACTTTTGTGTCCAAAACAAACAGAGACAGTGATCAAAGAGTAATTTGTCCAATAATCCAGTCAGTTAATACTGTAAACAAACCTTTTCATGGTTTTATTCAAGGGAATTTTTATGAGTCATGCGAGACTTTACTGTAAAATGACTTTAAAGCTGAAAATAAACCTAACATTCATGTCACAATGGATACGTTTAATCAAGACTATGACAATTTTTTCAGGATTAGGGCAGAAAAATGTAATAGTTTAAGAATTAGCTATTGACATTTTGGGGGATGTATTATCTGGGGGGCATTTGTTAACATATATGAATTAAACAGACCTCGGGAAATGAAAGCAAAACACTGGTCTTAAGTCTTCCCCTAAAGAAAGCAGGCAATTCACAGATCATTAAAGGTGAAAGTAAAGTCAGTAGGCGGAGGGACAAGAACCTGTGAACAGTCCTATTGACTTCATGTCTGTGGCTATTGGAGAGAAAACAATCGAATTAATTACTCTGGAGACAATGAAGATGCTAGAATATGCAGGAAAAGCTGGCAAGTGGCATGATTTCGTTTGTATGTGACAGACATTCAGTGTACTACTACATCAAATGCTATTCTCACAGACTATTTGATTCATAATATAGATTATCCATCTATATATATATATATATATATATATATATATACACACACACACACACACAGTATATAGTCTTTTGTAATCACAGAACAACCCTAGTGTGGACATGTTGGACAACTCATGTATAAAATTAGCAATTGTGTGGAATTTTTTATACGGTAAGGATGAGATAAAAGTTTCCCAAAAGGCTGAGTCGTTGGGGAAATACGTTTCCGGACGGAGGAAAGAAGAAGAATGTGAGACGTCATGAGCATCGTGCAAGCTGATTGGCTGTTGTGCGGCATATATAAACCCACAGTCCACCATTCAATCACTTCGACTGCGGGCAATTCGCAGTGCGCTGTACTCAGAAAGGGCAGTGCACTCGCTCATCGTCGTGTTGGTCTGGTTCATTTTGTTCGGTTATAGGATAACGCAAAACCATGAAAGAGAGAAGAAACGCACAGCCATTGGTGGTCAGATGTAAACTGGTGCTGGTTGGGGATGTTCAATGCGGGAAAACTGCGATGTTACAGGTTTTGGCAAAGGATTGTTATCCAGAGGTCAGTACATTTTCCGAAAGAAGCCCATTCATTAAGTTAATTCTAAAATTATAGCCTAATGGTTTTGTCGAATAACAAACTGTTGTTTTTCTCATACATGTTGAGATTTCGATGATTGTTTCATTGTAACATGCTTTGTTTACCAAGTAAGTTAGTCCATATCATTTATTTCACTGGCATAACAATAATGCATACATTAAATCGTTTTTCGTAGAGATAAAGAACGATACGTTAGCATTTAAATTGTTTTTTATTCCTAAGCATCTCATACATGCAGCATCACGTGCGCTGATCGGTGTTGATCTGTTGCGTCTCCACAGACGTATGTGCCCACAGTATTTGAGAACTACACAGCCTGTCTGGAGCTCGACGACCAGCGTGTTGAATTGAGTTTATGGGACACATCAGGTAAGACTAAACGGATAATTCTTTCAGTAACTAAATGTGACCCTGGACCACAAAACCAGTCTTAAGTCGCTGGGGTATATTTGTAGCAATAGCCAAAAATACATTGTATGGGTCAAAATTATTGATTTTTCTTTTATGCCAAAAAATCATTAGGATATTAAGTAAAGATCATGTTCCATGAAGATATTTAGTAAATTTCCTACTGTAAATATATCAACTTAATTTTTGTTTAGTAATATGCATTGCTAAGAACTTAATTTGGACAACTTTAAAGGCGATTTTCTCAATATTTAAATTTTTTTGTACCCTCAGATTCCAGATTTTCAAGTAGTTGTATCTCGGCCAAATATTGCCCTATACTAACAAACCATACATCAATGGAAAGCTTATTTATTCAGCTTTCAGATGATGTATAAATCTCAATTAAGAAAAATGTATGCTTATGACTGGTTTTGTGGTCCAGGGTCACAAATACTAAAATGGACCTAAATGGACAGTAACATTTTTAATTGTATGTTATGCAACTTAGATGGTCCATGCATTGTAATGAAGCAGGATCAACATAATGAAATGCAATGTGACATTAGAAGACATAGTGTATATCAGTTATATTATTATATAAAACATTACATTAAAATATATTATTGATAAATTGTGTGGGTATATATATATATATATATACATTTTTCATGCATTTTTGCTTTTGAGTGTATTCATAGTCTGACTGGAATTGTCTGGATAAAACACTAGAAATTGGAAACCACAGCTCTGTTACTCTCTTTATTGTTACAAATTGTAGTTTTATATTCTGTTCAAGGCAACAGTCTGGCTATTTTTGAACCATGTTGGGCCAATCCAGTTATGCTGATTACTAAACTACCTGATTAGAATATTGAATTTGAATGCAAATATAATTATTTATGCTAATGCTGAACCAGTGCGGGGAAAATGTAAATGCTGAATAATTGCAACAGATGTTTGCAATGGAACAACACATAAAAACAAATTTCTACAATGCTTTATATGCATTTGATTTTTAATATCAGTGTCACGAAATCAAAACGGTGTCCATTGGGCCAAAAGTACAGATGAATTTATTATTTTTGAGTACAAATAAAAAGGGTAAATAAATACCACTCTGCTCTCTTGTCTAGTTAACTTGAATGTTGTGAAACTTTGGAAAATCCTGTAATTTTCCTCCTCAAAAGTGCTTGTTGTATTAACATTAATCCAGTACCTTGTTTACATGGTTTAAACTTCCCTACAGATGGAAGCAAATTATGATAAACTGATGATAAACCCTGTATGCCCTTAATATTGGAAGTTGTGTAAAGTCAGCCAATCAGATTGGAGCTTGCCAAATTGAGTGCTTTCTAGTTTTGTGTGCAATATGCATCAGGCATGAGTCTAGACGTCTGTCTTTCTATCAGCTGCCATACATAGTCAGCAGACTAACGAGGGAGTATGTGGTCACTGAGGCAGTTCACATCTCCCCTCGGCTTCCCATTGTAGCATATTGACCTGATTACAAAGTGCTGTTTGTCTGCTCCACACTGCTCATTTCTGAATCCCTAGTAAATGACTGACATGATAATTTCATGTCTCTCTCTGGATGTGTGCTAAAGGCACGCCAACTGAATCATCATAATTAGCACCCAGAAACGTCTGGTGGTCCGCTGACTGTGAAGTGTGACTGATAGGACTGGGTTTCTGTGATGTGTTTGTCTGTTGTATACGTGAGATAGAGACAGACGGTGAGTGAGGGAGAGAGAAAGCAAGGATTGTGATTTCATGGTCAGATTGTTGAATGAAATATGTGCTGTTAATATGCCTCAGTCCTTTGCTCGTGCTTTTTGATCTGATTTAGTCTGCTTGGAGACAAGCCAGCTTAGACGCAGAGTACAGTTTAAGGGGATGGATGAGTCCCGGCTTGTATGAGGATGAGAGGGCAAACCAGAGATTTATTCAGTTTTTAGCTGTTAATCATGGCTGAGGCTGTAGATTTTGAACTGTATTTCCATCAAGTCAAACAGATATTCCAAATCAAAGTACTCTCAAATGTAAACTGAATTTGCTGTATCCATAGTGTGACAAATGGGTTCAGTGATATGATAAATTGATAATTTGGCAAAAAAATGCACAATTATTTATATTCTGTTTCTGATAAAAAAAATCAGGAGTTCTGTGCTTTAATACATTTAAAATGATATATATATACTTTTGTATGTATTTGTCCGTTCAAATGAATGAAGGCGTGGAAAGAAACTTAATTCGGGGCTTGCATGCTGTCAAAGACGTATCTCTAAATGTGTGCGCGCTGTACAGAACACAGCGCGCGAGTACTGATTGGAGTTGTATTTTGCATCTTGCTTGAATGCTTTAAAATCGCTTGAATTTTTAAATTAACATGGCTTAAACGCATGCAAATTATAAACTTTTGTGATGACGCAGCAGTGGCCCGATCGGGCCAGTGACAAATTCGTCAACTGTCCCGAGCGTCTTTCACGCTGGCCCCGGGCCATCGGGCAGTCCTTATTGTTGAGCCCTATTATGACAATTTAAAACAACTGTTTCCTGGTTTAATAGTTTAAAATGTAATTTATTCCTGTAACGGCAAAGCTGAATTTTCAGCAGTCATTACTCCAGTCTCAGTGTCACATGGTCCTTCAGAAAGCATTCTAACATGCTGGTTTTGTGCTCAAGAAACACTTTATTATCAAGGTTGAAAACATTTGTGCTTATGTGGAATCTTTGAGTGTTTCTTTGAATAGAAAGTTCAAAAGAACAGCATTTATTTGATCTAGAAATCTTCTGTAACATTATAAATGTCTTTACTGTTGCTTATGATCAATTTGACGCAACCTTGCTGAATAAAAGTAATTTTGTAAAAAAATAAAAATAAATCCCTAGCCCCAAACTTTTCAATGGTGTATGTGTTTATTCATACAGAACTGTTAAATGATGCCCCCATTACCTTCAGTGCATAGTAAAAAGTGTAATTGCTGCTTTAGTTTTGTGCATAAAATCCAAGTGGTGCCAAAGTCATAACCTACAGTAATTAGTTCATTGTACTTTCAATCACTTTGAATTCAGTTACTAAAGTAAATGTAGTTTGACTTTGAACTCAAGAAATGACAGTTAAATGGATGGAAACAAAGATGTTATGACATAATGATGAAATAATTTTACAGCATGTCGGTTTTGATATGCATGTTGTTTATGGGCTGTAAGATAGCACTCTGTACCTAGTTGGTTATGTTCTAGAATTTCCCTGTGTGCTATTTGTCATCTCTGTGTTGCTGCTCAATATGAACGAGGCTTCTTCTTAGTCTTTTCCTCATTGATTGAGCTGACCCCATCATTGGGTTTCAAACTGCTTGCTTTGTGACCCAGAAAGGATTTACAGGTGAAAATCAATCCTCACACTTTATCACGACAGCCAATTGGACCTACTGCAGGCTCTTAGAAGATGGCCGTCTGTATTTCTAATATGGAGGCTATATTTAATTTGCATTGAGGTATTAGCAATGGATTAGGTGGCATTTGCCATTAAGCTGATAGATGTACATTTCTGCGAATATGAATTCTGCTGCTTCAGTATGGGATGACTTCACAAGATCGTGTGTGCAAAAATAGTGCTCCATTAGCACATTAAAAAAGCCAGTAGATTAATGGGCTCTCCAGTGGCCAACTGGCCATTGGCAGTTGATGACAGGCACCAATGAGGAAACCCCATCACAGCTCTGAGATGGTTTTCCCTGAGGGGTCATGGCCAGCCCCTCGCAGTGAGAGAGAGGGGGGATTCTTTGTTGGGCCCCCATCATGTTCTGTGATGGAATCTCTGGGATCTTAAGGAAGGGGGGGTGGGGGATATGGAGAACGCTCTAGGTTTTGTTCTCATCATCTCTACTGGGAAGAAGGAGAGGGGCTTTCATTTGCTTCTAGCTCCTTTGTGAACGTTGACCTCTTTCAGCCCCATGCTCACATTTACATGAGTCTGAGAGTGCTGATTAATTCCCACAGATTCCACTGCGTTGAAGTTTACTCTGTCCGCTTTTTCATTCTGTGCCATATTTGAAATGTCAATTATTTTGCAATATTTATGCACTGGCATAATATTTATTAATATTTTGATAAATGGCTTTTATTTATTTCAGTTTAATTTTAGTATAAGTTTTAGTAATTGTGATTTTTGTCTTTTTTATATTTATATTTAGCTTTGTTTTCAGTTAGTTAACATTTATAACTTTCATCTAATATTTGCTTTGTTTATTTTTTGGCTTTTTCAGTTAACGAATACAATTTTAGTAGTTTGTTTATTTAATAACAACACTGCTAATATGATCCAATCTTAGAGTAATTCATACAGATTTCAGTAAATCTACCCACCCAAAATACAAAAAAAAAATGCTTTAATGCTTCAGTAAATACATTTTAAAACCTTAAACTATATATTAAAAATAAAGCTAATCTTTTTTCATTAAAATACTTTATTTTTTTTAATTTAACATTTTAAAGTAAATTTGTTGCACATGTTTAACTACACGTAGTCAGTAACTATTTCAAGTACACAAGATAATTTATGCTTTATTTTGAGTCGAATGATGATGATTTGCGGAATAGTTCATTCAAGTGAATTCATCAAAATGATAACTTGTTAGTCTTTTTGAGTGATTAATTAAAATAATAATTTATTTGTTCTTGAATTATACTACTAACAACAGATAACAAACACAATAAAAAGTATTTTAAAACCGTATTTTGTGGCACATAGTCTTTCTCCAAATACACAAAATGATGATCTTTAAAAAAAGCATCATATGACCCCTTTAATACAGACAGCAAGCTCACTCACTTGAGTAAAATGATTTATTTTGCTCCGCCACAGTAGATTGAGGGTAGAGAAGCAGGAAACAATGGTATACTATTTTCATTATGATACCATCTTATTCACACTTGTGTATGTGAATGATATTTTCTTTCACAAGTAAATGGCAGATATAAGCAATAATAATTGACAGGATCTGTTATCGCTGTCCTTGAGACTGTCAGAGATGGCTTAGTCACGAGAGACTACAATTGTGAACATAACTCCTTTAAGTACTGAAATAAATCATACCCACTTAAAAAGACCACATTTTCAAGGAACATTTCCACAAACCAAACTGTGACGTCAATCACACTCAGGTGCACACCAAAATTTCTAGAGCGAGTGCAGTTTATTATGTTTCAGAATATGTCTGATGCAACTTGCCAGTTACATTCATAGTTCGCAGTCATTGGTAAAACGGCTAAATTAGTTTTTCAGAGAGTGAAAGGGTTCAGCAGATGGAATGCGGTGTGGCGCACAAAAGCAGCCCACTCCACCTCCATCTGTTCTCTTCACAAGACTCTTCCTGCGCCCAAGGAAAAGGCCGTCTCATATCAATGACATGCACACGTTGGCCTACTTTTCAGCTAAGCTAGTTTTGCTCCAGGCATGGCGTCACAACAGAAAGCATTTATTCTGATTGTAGCAACTCTACTCTGCTTTTTTGTTTTTTGTTTTTTTTTGCACCCTTCTTTGCATGCGTCACAACCCCGACGTCTGTTAATACGCAGACAGCATACCGTCCTCTTCTTGTTCAACCGGGGGAACATGTGGCCCAGGGTTGAGAGCTGAGCAGAAGTTTGTTCACTGTGTGCAGAGTTGTTCAATAGAGCAGTTTTGTGATCCAAGACTGCTGGTGGTACAGAATTCAGCGTTAATGTGTTCTTTTCAGATTTCAAACAGTGATCTGAGTGAGTTTTGGTAAGCTCACTGTGTGGAGGTCTTTGTCTGTGACTGCTGGGATGTATCATTTTGTCGAGTTTAACTGAAATTGCTCCTCAGTCCCTTGGTGTACATCTACATCGATCACTGCATTAAGATCAGCAGCAATTGAATGCAGCCTCACGCTCAGGTTTGTGTGTCCGTGACGTCCTGGTAGGAGAGAGAAAATAGGCAGTGATCTATGCTTCAGATTGAAGTTGGTCTGCAGTGGACCTTTTAACTAGTGATCTCCATAATGAAATGAGGGCAAATTGGCTTCATACATTTAATTTCATGTTGAGGTTAATTAAAACATAGTAAACCTGACTCTTATGAGCAATTCTTCAACGAATCACTCAAAGAGACTCACAAAGTCATGAGTTGTCATTTTGAGTGAGTCTGATGAGTCCTTCACTGAATGAGTTTTAACTGCAGTCAACATGAAAAGAGTACATTCAGTGAAGGATTCATCAGACTGATTCAAAATGACAACTCATGATTCTTTGAGTCTTTGTGAGTGATTAATTGAAAGAATTGTTCAACCGTCCTGTTGACAAAGTTTTAATTAACTTCAAATAAACATGATGTAAAATTGTAAGTTTTACTTATTGTCTGAGGATTTTACTTGATATTTAGGGGTGGGAATTGTAATGAACTTAATTCTGTTTCCATTAACGATTTAGTCCTTGTGAAATGTAAAGTCATTACCAAATGATGAGAATTTAATTGATGCATAAATTTGAAAACATCTGAAAAGGAGTATAAACACCCATTTTGCAAGAATTGTTTTAAAGATACTACATAACAACAAAAGTGTTTAACTGTGTTTGATTCTCTAAAAAGATCCAGCTCGTAAGAGTCATTTATTAGGGAATTGTTTAGACTTTGCTGGTTGCACTGTATGTGTTAGATTCACTAAAAATAATCTGCTCTTAAGAATCACTTTGTTTGGTAATCAGTGAAACTACACCGGTCACGCTGTATGATTTGATTCACTAAAACGAATCGGCACATGAGTCGTTTGTTCGGGAATCGGTTAGATTATACTGTTTGTGTTGTATGTGTTTGGTCTAATAAGAATCAAGTCCATTCTTTTGGAATCAATTGGTCTTCGAGTGGTCATGCTTGATAGATGTACTAAAAAGAAAAAAACCTGATTAAATTCATAAGCTTGCTTTGTTTGCGAATCACTTGGATTACACTGAAAATGGAGCTTACTACTCAATAAAAAAAAAAGAAACTTTTCAATGGCAAGTTAATCAATATTGCTAACTATGAGGCTTCTACAGTGCATGGGCTAACAGTTGTATCACTGACTCATGCAAAGACCTGAAGACCATAACGTGAGGTTCAGGAGAAGACTGCGGCTAAATTAATCCAGAAAAGGAGACTGCGATAGTGAGGTGTATATAAGGCTGTTTACACCACCCCATCATCTCCTCCGTACCAAGCGGGTGGGCACTGCTCCGTATCAAATGATTGATAGGCAGTTAAGGGACGCCTTAGGAAGACGGCGCTCTGCAGATGGTTGACTCCAAGGCTGTTGCTGTGGAAACGGGGACTGGAGGTATTGCATATGTGTGGGGGGCACAGGGGGTGTGGGTGGCTTACTTAAGGATTCTGTGCAAGAGGAGAGTAAGTGCCTACCCCAGCCCCATCGCTCCAAGTTGCATAATCTACTGGAAAAAAAACAAATCGAGGGAGAGAGCGAGACACATTGATCAATGAGGATTTGGAGCTCAGTTGTCATTTTCTTCTCCTTTAAAATGCCAATATGGCAAGCAGTGAGAGGACGTGGGCTTTAACAGGATGTATGCTGAGCTGACTGGAAATGAAGTGATGACCAGGGGAGCTGTACCTCCGGCCTTTGTCTGATTCTGTCTGCACATATATATATATATATATATATATACACACACAGCACATTCACAGTCATCAGATCTGCTTTTCTTGAATACTAGCTTAAAGACTCGGACACAAGAACTCGGCAGTTTTATTTATTTATTTTGTGATTCAGAATGGAGGGTCATGATACATGATATTTTTTTAAAAGCATTTCAACATGGTCTTTGGTCTTAAAGTTGATTTATCTGAGTACTAATGTGCAGAAAGTGCTTAAAGATGAGAAACTAAAATAGACTTTTTTGTTAATGTTTGTGTTTTACTCTGAGATTGTATCCATGCTTATTATTGTAAAAAAAAAAGAAAAAAAAGCTTGCTTTCATAATTTTGCATCAGTGTAACATTAAAAAACATTCTTCACCTCTGAAATGACATTTTGTTTTCTGCTTAAAACAAGGCAACACGGGCACAGACAAAACCACTCAATCATCAGCTTCACTCTGAAATGCTTCATATGAAAGTTAAATGTGTTTTGAAACCAGGTTCTTGTTCTCTCTTCTGTCTTGGGCATTTTGTTATTTTAACAATATATTAAAGGGGTCATATGATGCGATTTTCAATTTTTCCTTTCTCTTTGGAGTGTTACAAGCTCTTGGTGCATAAAGAAGATCTGTAAAGTTGCAAAGACTAAAGTCTCAAATCCAAAGAGATATTCTTTATAAAAGTTAAGAGTCAGCCACACCTACCTAAAACGTCTCGTTCTAACATGCCCCCACATGTCTACCTCACTATGGGAAGATTTGCATAACGCCGCCCAAATGTTCACGCTTCCACAAAAATATTAAGCTGCACGGCTGTTTTTAATATTGATAATAAGAAACGTTTCTTCAGCACCAAATCAGCATATTAGAATGATTTCTGAAGGCTCATGTGACACTGAAGACTGGAGTAATGGATGCTGAAAATTCAGCTTTGCCATCACAGGAATAAATTACATTTTAAAATAAACATTTATCTTAATATAAATGGGTACATGAAAACATAGCAGTCCATTTTAGGAAGGGATCAGACAATTATTTTACTTAGGACGCTGATTTTAATATTTAACTACCCATGTAGACAACTGATAACATGAACAAAGCTTTTGAATTCATCAACTGTCTTTTGAAACACTGTTGCTTCTATTAAGACTGAGAAACTATAGCAAATGGAGTTTGTGCATCTCTTATCACAGGGCTCTGCCATGGCCAAACAGTTGGGCGCTGAGGCTTATCTGGAGTGTTCGGCCTTCACCTCTGAGAAGAGCATCCACAGCGTGTTCCGCACAGCTGCGCTGGCTTGCATCAACAAGCTACAGCCGCTCGCCAAACCCAGCCCGACCCGCCGGCTGTCCAAACGCCTGCTCCACCTGCCCAGCAAGTCCGAGCTCCTCTCCTCCACCTTCAAGAAGGAGAAGGCCAAGAGTTGCTCTGTAATGTGAGTGGAGAACTTCACCCCCCCCATAACAAACGCTACACCATTCCCTGCGCTTTGGTCTGGGGAAGGAGGGGTGGGTTCCGATTGCCACATCAATGACGTGTGGAATCCTTCCTCACCCCCCAAAGAAACACCTTTCAGAACAAGTGGACACCTCGCTGTCCTCCTTGTCCTGAGCTCTTCAACAGTGCATATGTATTTTCAGTACTGTATCTTGCTTTTAAACGAGATTTGATCATCAGCCGTCATCTATTCACTTCTTGTTATCAAGAGATTTGCTGTCATTGGGTCAGTTGAACCTCGGAATGATTCAACTAAATAGGAAACATGTTTAAAAAAGGTTCTAATGTTCAATGTAAGCTATTCGATCTATAAATACAAGATCTCTAGTGTAAGCTTCAAAATAAATACCTACAGAATGCACTAAAATTGTGAAGCTGGGGCTGTTGTGGAGCTGTGCACAAGGCCGGGTCATGTAGAGGAGAAGGCGGCCCATTTGGCATTGTCACGCTTGTTGAATTTGCTGCAGTGTAGGAAGCGAAATGTGATTAAGTGAGAGCCGCCCATATCTGAACGCTACGATGGAGGAATAGAAGGAAATGGGCCAAAAATATTTGTATAAATACAATTTATGATGCTACCAAAGTCAATTTTCCCTACTACAACACCTTCTTATATATACACGCTTCTATTTTTAGAGGCTAAAGCTTTCTGAGAGATAGGATGGGTGTGACTGGGGAACATATTACAGTGATTATCTGTATCTTAATGTCTCCTGCTGCTTTCAAGTGTAGGCAACCATGATTTTTCAAAGGGATCCATACACTAGATCTGCGAGGGCTCAATCGGATCAATTTTGGCATGATGAATAAGCTTTCATTCCTGAAAATGACCTCCAGAGAGGTTTTCTGAAACCAACAGATTCAAAATGTATGCAAGAAGGTTAAGTCACCTGGTTTGAGATGTTTAAGATCAGACCAGCTTGGGTTTAGTTCGTCATGCATCTTATGTAGCATTCTGTCATCGAGCAGCAGAATCTCCCGTTTCTTTGCCTCCATGCTCATTTGCAGCACTAGCAGTCGAAATATTTGTGGATAATATCGTCCAATGTGTTTCTAAACTTGATTATCAATGGAAAAAAAAAAACATGTTTTCTTGTGCAAAGTGCTAATCTTGAAGTCTGCTTTCCACCACAAAGCAATAATTATGGTTGAAGTGCTTGTAATGCAAAGTGTGTACGGTGGCAATAATTAAAACAAAATAATTAAAAGGCTATTATAAAAATTCATGCTACTGCTTTGTGGACATACATATATTTATGTGGATATTCATCAGCACAGCTGTAAAAAAAAAACAAGCCAATATATTGTGACTATGTTCAGCCTTTGTTAGAGAAATTAGATGAAAATATGACCATTGGAGTGCAACTTTTTTATTTTTATTTTTTTTTCCTCCTTTTCAACTGAATGGAAATATTAGTGTTCTGTTCATGAGCATACAGGGAGGTTAATGCATGAGAAGCAGATGGACTGGAAGGAAATTCAGACAGGACCTTTTAAATATATGGATCAGCTGACCGGATAAGGGCTTTGGTGTTTGTGAATCTGCGAGGTCAAACTGGAAATGGAAGCCGACTTTTGGAATAAAACTGAACAGGCTGGTCCTGTTTAATGAAAGCGATTTGTCCATTTTTGAACCGTTGTTCCAATAATTGTTTTTGCTTTATTTGTGTATACTTGAAGTCAATATTTTTCTCATTTTGCTCAATTGTCAGTGGTGGAAGGGAAGATGCGAGCAGCCGCTGTGGCTGTTTACAAGTTCTGCCACTGTGATCACACACACCAAATTCCTTTTTGCATTGTCTAGTGACTGCGTAAATAAAGAAACTGAAGATGAATGTTGGGTTCTAGGGAGTGTGAACAGCGTGTATACATGACACATGGCTGGTCAGACATTGTAGCTGCCAATTTACTTAAGTTCTAGGTGATGGAGATGGACATTCAATCATTATGCTGCCATTGCACAATGTTGGGTACAAATACACCAAGCATGCCCTCTAGTTCTTCAGTTGTACATATCTCGTTTTGTAATCTTTGTAAGACATCTAAAAGAATGTCACAAGATTAAATATTTGTTCATGTTGTAGATTGACAAAGATGTGTTTGATGTAAAACTGTTTAGTCCTATTTATTTGGATTCATCATTTGAGGTAACTGTTTTCTTTTTTGTGTTTTACATGGTTTTATTTCAAAAATGTTATTTTGTAAATGACTTCTCCCTTTGTCTTTCCTGTAATAAAGCTTGCCTTTGTGTGGCACACATGACTTTGCATATTGAATATTTGAGAGTATTTCATTTGAGTATTTGTGAGTTTTATTTTAAACTCTATACGGTTAAAGATACAGTAATATTGTGAAATTATTACAAATTAGTGACTTTTTAAAAAAGAATTTGAATATAAAGTGTCATTTTATTCTAGTGATGGCTGCTGAAAATTCAGCTTTGCCATTACACCAGTCTTCAGTTTCACATGATCTTTCAGAAGTCATTCTAATATTTGGTGCTCAAACCATTTCCTACTGTAAATGAATCGATTCATTAAATTTAATTACTCATTTCACTTTCTGCAAATATTGTGGCATTTCTACAGTTGATACAAATCCTTCAATATATACAAGCTCTCCTTCGGTTAGCGTTCCTTATCGACTGTTTGGATGCCAGGTGGGCTGTCGTGTTGGTACGTTCCTCCCTTTTATCAGCCAGTATAAGACATCTCCCACCTTAAGCACGTACTTACCAAGATTCCTTGGATATTGAGCTGGGGTGCACATCTGTCTCAAGACACAACATCTGGGAGGGGTGTGGGGCACAAGCTGCTACCAGTGTCCAAAAGAGGAATGCTGCCAGGAGGCCATGTGGCTGAGGTGGAGACCCCGACTCAGCAGCCAAGAGACTTCCACACAGCCCAGCTTCCAATCTCACCGGGAAACAGCTCTACAAAGACAACCATAATGAAGTTACTCATTGGCCGCATGTAAAATGAGCTTTCCATTATGAAAGCAACGTCTCTCAAGGCTTATCCAACAAAGTAGAACATTAGATTAAAGAAGTGCTAGTAGGAGCGGGCGTCAGGTTTGTTTGTTTATATAGGAGCTATTTGCAGACGTTAAGTCCCTTGACCATCTGTGAAATTACTTTTTGTGCATTACGATGTTTTAATATAGTGTGTAACTGAGGACTAGCATGACTTCAAATTTTAAACTCCAGCACACTAAAAAATTGTGTAGAAATAATTTTCATTCAGAAGTTGCTAGTAAATTTCACAAAGAAATGGCAAGTAACACATTATTAGCCCCTTTCACACATGAAACCTGTTAAATTGCCGTAAAATTGCCAGATTTACCTTTCCGGTAATTGCACAAATGTGCTGTTCACACAAGCAATGGTGTTTCATCTTTTTACCAGTAAGATGCTATTGCACAGGCGTAAGGTGATGATCACACAGAACGTTTTTCTCTTATAGTACACAATAGTAACTGCAGAGCTTCAGCGCTGATGAAAAGAAGGCATGGTCTAAAGACTTGGTGCACTTATTTATTACTTATGAATGGGAGAAAGTGCAATGTGCAAATTGGTGGAACAGTCCGGGCTTCTAAATAAAAGAGCCAATCGCTAATTGCTGAAGTCATTGCGTCACTCCAGCTGCCGAAGCTCTGCTGTGCTTGCTATAGAAACAGTCACTGTGCGTCTGAAATCACATACTGTTTGAGTAGGTCCTACATTTGAATTTGAACTTACTTTGCGACTGTTACAAAAAGTCTGTTTTATATAGTAGTGTGAATGAAATTCAGACGTACTGCACCCACAATGTTGTTACTGTTACTACTTATTTGGCTTATTTTTCGCATACTAGAGAAGTATTTGATTTCTGACACATCTTCAGTGTCCTGAGATGTGTGCTTAGGAGTGCACATGCATATTGGCTGATCTAGACTAAAATCAAAAAAGCTTTTTTCAATGCTATCTGAGCATAAGAAACAAAATTGTGTGAGACAGGTGTTGTCAGATTTCATTGGTGATTTCAAATATGAAATGTAATTGTAAGCTCGGTGAACAGATTTGAAGAATTTGATGTTTCCTCATTCAAAGAGATAGAAGCTGTACTTGCATGACTGAAATAGCTGCCTGCAAGGCTTTTCAAAGATGGCCACCGAGTGAAACGACTTGCCTTAAGTTGACTTTGGCAGGGTCTCGAGTGCGAGACGAGATGCAACAGTCAGATGTCCGTCTAGTTCATAGATTTTAAATTTAGATTTTAAAAGCGGTGGAGCTTACTGTAGACTTCTCCGACAGAGCTTTATGACTGACCCAAAACAGACTTCTTAAAGCAGAACAATCTTATTTTTTGTTCACATATAGCATCATACTGGTATCTGTAATTTACTGGTAATGTTACATCTGCTCATACCGGAAAATTGCCAGAACTTATTTAGCAGCATTTTTGAAAAGGTCCTGTTCACACTCTAAATGGTTATTTACCAGTAAAGACTGTATGTATGGAAGGGCTGTTGAATTAAACATTACAATTTTGAAGTAGATTGTATTTTCTTGTAAAATGTACTCAAATAATTACAACTTCGAAAAATAAATTTTTTACAATTTATAAACAGGCCTAAAAGACCCACTTCTGCGATGTCAGTGTGGGTGTTTATCAAAAGCACTACCCTCCTGCTTCAAATCAGGGAGTTTACGGGGTCTCTGACCTCTTGAACACCTGCGGTGTTTTTGATCCACTCAACAGCGCTTATGAAAGCATGCTAGAAGGATCTAGGTTATTGTTAAATGCCATGCTAGACACATGCAGTGAAAGTACAAGGACCTAAGGGTCCATTCTCACCTTAGCCCCTCTAGTGTCCACTAGCACAAAACAGGAGCATATTACTCATACTCATGGAGAGGGAGCTGTAACTGCATACGTTAATAGTCGTAGCAAATTAGGCCAACATCTGGACAGGCACAGGGAAAGGAATTGCTCACTCGGCTAAATTAACAGATATGGTTTAGGGCCACAGGCATCATGACACAGTCTAAGAACCAGACAAAACTGCTGGGTAGAAAACTGATTACTTCCACACTCTCTCTGTCTCACACACAGTCTCTGCCGCAGTGCAGGCCCAGCCAGATCATCAGCAGCCATCACTAGTCTTACTACGGTGCGTCAGGGTCAGCAAGCCAGTTAGACACTATTTTGTGCCCTCTCAGTATTGAGGGTGATTGATGTTTTCATATTGGGCCAAAACATTTCAGCGGTGTATGTAAATATATCTATTTTTTCATGCAATAATAATGTGACATATTTGATCTGGCACTCCATTTGTGAAGGTCCATAAGCGTCTGTGTGCTCTGGGCAGACTAATGAAGCAGTCGGAGCTGCAAGGATAACATGTGCCCTGCATTTACCCTAGTAACAAAAATTATTCAACCCCCCACAGAGCAACTATTACCCTCTAATATTGCAGAATCATATAAACATCAACATTTAATAGACTGAAATATACTTTAATGTACTGAAAAATAAAAGATATTATAAAAAGTT